TTTTTTGTTATAATCACACTTTTGAACATTTGATTCTGTGAAAGCTATAAGGAGAAATGTGGTGCTGACTCTTTATGAAAATAAAATCTTATACAAAGAAAGAAAATTATTTTTCCCTCATTACTGAATCTCAAGTTTCTTGATAATTTTTATATGAACCAGAAATATTTACCTGAGCCACTTTAGAATTTAGTTATTGTGAGGAATATCGAACTTAAGGAACTTTAATTTTTAGAAATGTAGGCCACTGTATTTCCTTTGTCAGAAGCCACAAAGGAAATCAAAGAGGAGTCTCTCTTCCACCTACAGCTTGCCATTTACTGTCCCTGACAATACTTCTCATGGAAATCAAATCTAGACTATCTGCTAGATTAAAACCTGAGGCCATAAAAATGAAAATTTGTAAATATAAAGAACCTGAGAAGAAATGAAAATGCCCACATAATATAATTGGTTTAGTTTCAGATTTTCTGTTTAACATGAAAAAACCAACCAAGCAAATAAACAAAAGATACATAAAAGATATATGTTGGACATGAGTGGGGAAGTCAGGGACAATTCTGAATCACCCTCTCTCTGAGCCTGTCTCTTGTATTCTTAATTTGTTGGAAATATTACTTTTCAGACAGGAATACTTTCAGCAAAATGGAAGAGGTTTTTTTGTGGGTTTTTTGGTTTTTTTTTTACACTCTCTAGGCACATTATTTGTCCTGACTAGTGGTTCTCCCGATTTTGGTAAATTGTCCATTTTTAAAAATATTTGGACAATTTAAATAATTCACAATCCAGAAATGAAACCTGCAGATGATTGCTTTTACTGTCTGTTTTAAAATAAATGAAGCGGTTTCTTTGCACTTGTGGAGAGGAAAAGTTCAGGTCTGTTTTCTACCCCAGGTTTCTAAGCTCTTCTAAGGATTTTTATAATATTACTATTTTAAGAATGAAGCAGCAGTTCCTGCCTTCTTTCCCCTCATCCAAGTAGTGATGATGACGGTGGTTTTTTACTTTGTGGAAGATGCGCTGATTCAGATAGCTGAGTGTGACTCTGTTCCACGTCAGCAGCTTTTAGTCCCTTGCTGCTTCCTGCGCCATCTCCCCAGCATTCCCAGCTCCTCAGCTATTTCAGTGTCCTATGTATTTTTAATATATTTCTAGTTTTACATTTTTGAGTGCATTCTAGGAAATGTTTTTATGAAGGAATATTGGTTGATATATAGCCAACTAATAATCAAATGAGAATATTTACACTTGACATGTAGAACAGGTAGAAATATACCTTTTCTCTAGCGGTCACTTAAAAATGTCAGTTTTATACAAGGCTTAACCAGATGAAGTTACTGATAGTCAACCGTTTTTAACTTACAAAATTAGCAATTTCATCTCTTTCAGCCTAAGAGCTTATAGATAGCAAGTCCTAAAGAGCACTGTTAAGATTCTCTAAAAAGGAGAAATGGAGGTAGTTTTCATTTTGCCAGAAAGAATAGAGTTGGAAAGCTGTTTCTGATGTAAATATAATTACTTTAATGGAGGCCATATTTCTTTTTATACTTTGCCTCATGGTCTTGCCTTTCTCCTTCGGTTTGTTCATGTCCCCAGCTCTACCAGTAGCATGCATTTCTATCATGAATCACATTGGAACTTTTGCTCCCATTTTTTTCTCTCTCCCCCAACCCTCCAACTATGTCTAAGGCTACTTGTTTTATTGTGAGAGGTATAAGATAATAGGAATTAATCCCATATGTTTGAGGGCAGACTTCTGGGGAGCCTGCCCCCAGACCCGTCTTCTTTCCTGGTGTTCCCACTGCTGCTACTGACCCCTGTCACTTTCCTGTTCCATTGTTGGCTACAGGTGACGTTCCCTTTAACAGCCCTTGTTGGAACTGTTGATCCCCACCTAGCAGCTATACATCATTTTTCTGGTTTGATACACTTAAGGAAGAGCTACTTTCTTTCATCTGAATCCTAGATTTCAAGGGCTTCGGAAGGGGTTCTTTGGTACACTGCAGACACCGTTTCCAGCGTTATTACAAAAAAACCTAGAGTCAGTCCTGATTCCTCATCCTGACTCTGCCACCCCACCCATGACTCTGAACTTCTCTAAGTCACTTAACTCTGGGCCTAAGTTTCTTTATCTCTAAAGTTAGATGGGTGACAATTGGAGTCCTATAATTATGTGCCTAAATGTCATTTAAAGTTGCCCTTTTCTTCTTAAAATCTGAACAACAGTTTTACACATAATTTATACATAGTTATTTCACAGGGAGGATATTAATAGCATAAAATATTAGCCTCCATCAGTTGACTACGAGGACATTTAAATGCTTAGTCCCCACCCGGTTCAGCAGCCTGAAGTCATTTTAGTGACCCATTTCGGATTGAGCGTACAAGTGTGACTATAAATTTCCCCTGACAGAAACCACATCACCTCATCAACGACATACGAAAATGACAAAACAACCAACTGTCAAAGCATGCTTGCCAAGCTTTCAGCAACACTGCCTTGAGGGGGAGAAAACATTTGTACAAGATGAAATTGAAGCTGGATAAAGCCCAAAAGATAAGCTCTGGTGTACCTGTATTCTCTAAGCTGCAACATATGGGAGGTGTGTTTGTGCCAGTGAGGCCAGAGTTCCAGAAAACTCTTTGCTTCTTGAAGCCACATCACCATCCAGGGATGGGGAAAGGGTACAAGGGAATGAGGCATGCTACTTTCTTAGTAATTACTAGATCTCTAACAAATAATAGTAGCTAAGGTCCATTTGGCGATGCTTCACTAAATCTTCACAGAAGCCTGGTAAAGTTTACTATGATTGTCTGCCTTTTTTCCCAGCACTGGTTACTCAGACTCAGAGAAACACAGCTAGTTAGCTAGTTAGCAGTCAATCCCATTCATACTGGGTCTGTCTTAACCTCAGTGCCCGTGGTCTTTCACTTTACCTTGAACTGATTTTAAAGTTGAATGTCAGCAACAAAAGTGGAACACTGGTGAGAAAAGGAGGAAAAGAGGTGCTACTCCCCATTACCCAAAGTTTCTCTGCTTTGGTAGAAAGAGCACTCGAGTATGAAAGAAGCAAAATCTGCCCGACTTCAGTTACCTGTAATAAAGGACTACAAAGTCGTCAAAAACACCTTGAACAGAGATCAAAGGGAGAGTTACTCTTAATAAGAAAAAGGCAGATACCTAATAAAAAATGGGCAAGAGTTGAACAGACACTTCCCTAGAATGACTAACCAGATAGTCAGTGAGCATGGATCAAGATGTTCAACCTCATTAGTCATTAGAGTAAAGCAAATTAGAACCACAATAGCAATCACTGCATACCCACCAGAATCACTAAGGTCAGAAAGACCACAGTGCTAAGTGCTGGTGAGGATCAGGAGCAACTGGATCTCAGTCACTGCTGGTGGGAGTGTCAATTAGTAAAACCACTATGGACAACTTTTGATAACTTCAAATACAACCGAACACCTGCATACCATATGATCCAGCATTTTTATTCTTAGGAGTATGACCAACAGAAATCACTACATATGTTCATCAGAAGACCCATAGGAAAATGTTTATAGCAACACAATTCCTAATGGCTGAAAACTGGAAACTAACCAAAAGCCCAATAATAAGAGACTGACCAAATACGGTGGAATGCTCATGTGATGAAATACTATACAGCCACAGAATGAGCAAACTGTTATTACACATAACAACATAGATGGATCTTACAAACATGAGGTAGAGCAATGAAGGTAGACACATGAGAGTTAATGCTGTATGATACCATTTACATGAAGTTCAAAAACAGGAAAAACTAAGCTGTTAGAAATCAGTCAACCTTTGTATGGGATGGGAGGGAACAATTGGAAGGAAGCATCTGGGGATTCCTGGGGTGCTGAGTATGTTCTGTTTCTCCATCTGGGTGATGGTTACAGTGTTTTGAGATGTTGAAAATTCACCAGGTTGTTCACTGACAATATGTGCACTGACAATATTCTACTTTAATACTAAGCTTTTAAAGTACTATATATACAGATGCTTACATTTTGACTCCTGCTATGGCAATATAAATTTAAATCAACTAGGGGATTTGCATATGTATAAAATGGGAATTTTGTGAAATATTCTGACCTATATCGTGGGAGAAATGTTGTTAATTTTTTCTTGATAATGCTTCATTGGCCTCTCAATTTGTCTGAACCCCACAAGGTGAGAAGGAAGGAAATAGTGAATTCCGTATACACCAGCAATTATTGCTGCGAGCATTCATTCAACCAAAGCAACACTAGCTGGTCAGGTTTTTTTTGGTTTTTTTTACCAGATTACAGAATTTTTCTTGCCCCAGAGCCTATAATAAAACTTATCTTTTTATTATGATTTTATACCTCCAAAAAGAAAAGCATAAGGAAAATAACTATGAAATTACAAGACCTCGCTAAAACAAATTCTGAACCTTTTTTCTCTAGGAAACGAGGTGAAAAGATTCAAAGAGAAGTCCTCTTTTCACCTGGGCAGTTTTCATTTGCAGTAGCAGTTGGAAAAAAAGGCAATATGGAATGTTTAAAGAACCATAGCAATGGTCTGAGAACTATTTTGCAAAATATTCAGGTAGTTTGCAAGTTGAGTTTCCAAATTCTTGACACACAAATAATTGAATTCTAGTGTAAGGAGGTATAAAAGAAGAACAAACTTGTGTTTTAAAAATAAAAATTGCAAAACGCTATCTGGCCCAGAGTCTAATGGTGTCTGAGACAAAGTATTGAAAATTCAGCCTGTCCTTCCTTTGAGATCCCATTGTACCACCTTCTCATTTGACCATTGTGGAACCTTGCCTAATCTGTTCAAGGTCACACAGTTGGTGACAAAGAAAGGCAGGACCTCTACTATCTTTAAAATTTCAACCCCTTTCTTTTTCACCCCATAATACAGAGTCCAGATAATAGGTTAATAATAGCTCAATGATCACAGATGTAATATTAACATATTTCCTATAAAATATGTATTTCAGCTGGCTACCCTTGAATTCCCTCCAAAGAAACTATTTGGAAATAAGGATGAACGTGTGATTGCTGAGAGGCGGAGCCACTTAGAGGTAACAGAATGAAGCTTTTCTTTCTCTGTGTGTAGAAAATTTGCCATCTGATTGACCAGTGAGAATTACTCCTATTAAACACTATTACTCTTGTTCATGCATGTGAAGGTGCTGCTTTATTAATACAGAAGATGGCAGCAGTAGATTAGAAAGTAATGACACCAGTTTATTTAAAATAGAAGTTCTTATCCCCCTATGGTCTAACAGAATGTTTTTCTGATTTTGAAGGGTATACTTTTATTCTAAGGGTTAGGAAGCAGGTTGTGGGTGAGAACTAAATATTCCCCATAGACAGATGGTATGTAATACAGGATGAGGGTGTGGAGCTTGCTGCATAAAAACTTGAATTAATTAACTGAAGATTTATAGTATTGCATCAGTGTTACTTCTTCAAGATAGTTGGAAGAAAAAAAGACACATACCTATTTTAGTCACGGTTAGGTTTTGTTTGATTTATTTTAACTTAGTCTTCTGAGCCAGCTACATGTAGAATTTTGGTTTAGGACAACTGGTTTTTTTCTGACCGCCTCACTGCCAATACACCTGGTAGACTGCTTTATCTTGTTTGTATTTCTTTTCAGGATAGAGTTGCCTACTTGGTTGGGGTCTGATGCTAATGTGGCAGGTCTGTGTGCTGAGGCATGTTCACAGGCTGTCCTAGGTTGTTGCTACTCTTTTGACATGATGAGTCACTGAGGCAGACAGTATACGGTTACAGATGGCTCACGACAATCTTGAGTCAGCAAGTTTTCGGCGGGCCTCTTAAAGTCCCTTTGTGACTTTAAGAGGAATAATAAGACCAATTATAGATGAAATCAAATAAGAGGAAGCCCAGGAGAGTCCTTTCTGAATCGTGAAGCGCTCCATAAAAGTTAGGTATTATTCTCAGTCCCCATGACAGCCAGTTTGAAATGGTTGCCCAAGGTAACCACTTAATGCCAGTGAACCAAGAATTAGGGAATGTTCCAGAGGCTAGAGATTCAAGTGAAATAACACAAAAGGGGGGTGAAGTGAGGGACACAGAGAAATTGAAGACTAGGAGACTGTGGTCCACGAGGGGCATTTCTGAGTTTTGCGATCCTCAAGGTGGAGCTGCTCCGAGGAAGGACAAGTTTTAGGGCGTGGCCACGCTTACAGGCATTTGAGTTAAACCCGTTACATGTTCAAAGAGGTCCTGGACTGTTAAGACTGAACTTCGGATGGGTCATTGCAGGCTTCTAAAAATCACCCTATGAGATGGCATGACCCTATTATCCAACTGAAGAATTTGTGTTCAAGGGAAAGATTATCATGGCGAGTCGGCTTGGTCAGGTTCTCTTAAAGGTTTGATTGTATCTTACAAGAAATTAAAATTAATGATAGAACTAGTGATCTAGACTTATCTTTAATGGAAACATGGAGAATGATAGTATACAAAAAGCAAGTTTATAAACAACAACAAAAGATAGACTGTTGTCATTCCTATCTACTCAGGGCTCTAATGAAATTCCCATGATGCCTGGCTGTGCTACAACAGTCTGGGCATTCTGTGTGCTGTGCATCTGTGAGCACAGCTCTCGGTGACTCTTGTCTTTCCATTCCAGCTTCCAGAGTCAGAGCAAAGTTCAGGGCATTCTCTCATTCTTGGTACCTTCAGATAAACCCACATTTGTTCTTTCTGTATCTCCTACTTAATCGCTTAGCCCCACTAAGCCATCAGCTGTTGATGAACAGAATTCTATGTTAATGTCTACTTGTCCAAGGATCCCGTCTGTTGCCTGTGACTCTTACTTACCTGCGGCATTAGCCTATATGGAATGGATTCCACACCTCATGGAAATAGGCACTTACATTTTAAATTAAATGTATTTCATCTAATGTTGACTGTTAAATCTTAGAATATACTTTTCAAGGAGGACGCATAATTCAGTTTCACTTTAATGGAAAATTAATCTGAAATTATTGAGTTAATTTCCTGCAACTATTATGACTTTTCTTTTTTTAAAAACTAACATCAGAAATCATTGTTTCATTTAGTGCATTTTCATGTGAAAATTAACAAAATTACTTTTCTTGAACTTCCTATTCAATTCAATTCCATGTACATTTATTGAATTCTTAATACATGCCGGAGATGGTGCTAGGCATTATATGGAATATAAATGAGACATTTCTTTCCCTCTAAGAACATATGTTTAAATTCCTATGTGAAACTACCCAGAGGTAAAACTTACTACATAAACACAAAAATACACATAAATACAGAAAGACAGTTTCATTAGAACACATTTGCACTGGTACACACTAGTATACATAGCGTGTTCTCAGAAGTGTGTGACAATTTTTAAAATTCAGAAATGAAGCATTATAAACCTCCTCACCTTGAGTCAGCTGTATAAAGCAGTGTTTTAAGCAAGCATTCAGTTATGTTTTGACCTTCCCTGCTATTAAAATATTTCCAAGATCTGGACCTTGTGTTTGAGTTTATCACCAAACAGTATAAAATGTTTTCACATTAAAGACACAGACACCATGTTGGCACTTTCCAAGTTATATAAGTTAAATCTTTTAAAATAATTGTTTGTAAAAATGATGGGCAATAGCAGAACTTTCCAACTGTCATGGGATATCTTGGAGATTAATTTTCTTCTATTAGAGAGAGGACTATTAGCTGTATGTGTGGCAGTGGTGGTGGTCGTGGAGTGGTAGCCCAGGAACTGTATGTAGCCTTGGACATACTACACCCATAAAAGGCAGGAGTGAGCAAGAACGTGATGACGGTAAATGGAGGAGTATAAACTTGGCTGCCAGCGCTCTTATTGATAAACATGTATCAGCTGCACCGACACAGTTATTGGGCCAACTTCAGTTTATGCCTGGAGCCAGTTTTTCTGCAATCTGGCTTGTTATTGATTTGCATCTCATGCTGAAACAAAAAAGTCATGCCGTGGAACCTTTGAAGATTTCTAACATGGGCTGACCTTCCTGTTGCTGCTGCCGTGGCTGAAACCAGGGCAGTGTAACTGCATGTTGTGGGCAGACCCTGCCATCAGGAAGTCAGAGGATTATGGCAGCACTACTCCCCACGTGTGACTAGCTTCCCAGGCTCGCATATCCCTTCTTGTAACCCAGACTTCACCCAGGAGCCAAAGGTTGGCAGGTGAGGCTGTGGGGGTAGCAGGAAAAGAATATATTAGTCTCTTTCTGACAGTTACTTTGAGTAGAAAGGTACGTCTTACTATATTTGAAGCCAGATACCATTACTATTAATTAGGCTGAATCATAAGAAACCGTCATTGTTGTAGGTCAAAATGGTGGCACATTAACAATTTCATATGCATCCGCTTAATACTACTGCTATCTCATTTCCTAATTGTTATACTCAGTGCCAGGCATGAGCAGAATGCTTTGTATATCATGTCATTTGCTTCTCCTAACTAGCTTGTGAGGTGAGCTCTTTATCTCCAGTTTACAGGTGTGGAAATTAAGTCTTAGGGAGGATAAAGAAGGTCGTATAGCTAGTAAGTGGCAAAGCCTCAGTTCATAGTAGGGTTTCTTGCAGAGCAAGTCCCTTCTCTTAGTAATCAGTACACTCTAAGTTTGAAATGGAGTTGGGTCTTCTTATAAAGAAATGTCATTTCTTTTGAAGAAACATCATCTTCCAGCATTATCGCTACATTGTTAACCAGGATGCTTTGCCTGATTATTTATTCTTAAATATCATTTTATTCATTCGGCATTCATTGAGCACCTATTCTGTGCCAAGCAGTATTTTAGAACTGAAGAGACTGTAGAGCAACACAAAATCCGTTTTCCTCATCCATTAACTGACCATAACTATAGAGATGACCTTACATTATAACCATATATATATATTAAGATTTTATTGGGAAATTGGGGGAGGGAACAGAGTTGGGGAATCAGGGAAGGGGAACAGACAAGTTGCTGTCCTTTTTCTTCAGTCTAGTTGTGGAGGATGTCGCTTCACTGACCCATGTTGGTATGGTGATCATTGCAATCTTCCCGGCTGAGGCAGATCGGTCGCCAGCCATTGGACAGCCATTCATGGTGGCTCATGACAGCTCACGCTGGCTGCCGGCCACTCACGGTAGCTTATGGCAGCCCACTGCAGCCCCACTGCAGCCCCACTGCAGCCTACGCTGTCACCTGTGACTCACGGCAGCCCAGCTCCAGGTTGATCTGTTGTTCACCATCTTAGCTGCAGAGGGTGCAGTGTCGCTGGCCCATGTGGGATCCGACTTGGCGGCCCTGCTGCTCAGAGCTGGTGCTCCCAAGCCAACTCTTAACCAATGAGCCACTCAGCTGGCCAATAGATTTTTTTTAAATAAAGATATTTATTGTAATTGTTGATTTTTTTGTATTTACTTCATGACTCATCAGAAGTTCTGAGTCTAAACTGCTTATGGCTTTGTTTATGTTTGAAGCATTTATTTATACTTGATGTCACATTATTCCTATGTAAATTATTTCCTATCTGAATTACTGAAGAATATAAGCTCAGAATATCTTACTTTTTATTAAATTTATTGGAGTGACATTGTTAATAATATATGTTTCAACTGTACATTTCTATAATACATCGTCTATATATTGTATTGTGTGTTCACCACCCAGAGTCAGTTCTCCTTCCACCACCATATTTGATCCCTTTTCCCTCTTCTACCACTGTCCCTCCCCACTTACCCTCTGGTAACCTCTAAACTGTTGTCAATGTCTATGAGTTTCTGTCTTGTTCATTTGTTGCTTTCAGTTTTATATCCCACATATGAGTGGCGTCATATAGTTCTCAATTTTTTCTGTCTGACTTATTTTGCTTAGCATGATAACCTTGGGCCAATCGCACACCCCCATGGCAGCAACAACCCATTCAAACATCTGCCCTATCATGCCATTGTGATTTTGTTGGGGATTGCGTTAAATCTGTATATCCCTTTAGGTAATATGGTCATTTTAACTATGATGGTTCTTCCAATCCATGAACGTGGAATATCTTTCCATTT